TTATTATTACTACAATTATAATTATTACGGTTATTACAATTATTGCGATTATTATTATTTTTATTTTTATTTTTATTATATATAATAATGTAATTGAAAATTTGAAACGATATTACATAAGGTTAATAATAAACAAAACGCATCTTCATTTCTGTCGTTATATTTTTGTTAGCCTCCTGAAGTCCTACTTCGATCGAGCATTTCGAATGCTATACATGTTTGGTTGCATATATGAAATAAACTGTAATACTAATATATATAGCACTTTGATATTTGTTATACATTTGTGAATGCATTTATTGTTTGTGAATACAGACTGCAGAAAATATTGTAAGTACTATAAATTAAATTTGATTACATTCTAGTGAACATATGATCGTATTGTACATTCTTTAATCCATTGAAAATTATTTTTACTTTTACGTGATACCATTAGGGAGAAAAAAAATGTATAATAAACTGTAAAATATGACACTTTAACTACGGGGGAACTTGGAAGAGGTAAGGATAGCAGATGCTATTGTTTTATAGACATTTAGGTCATTATAATATAACATCTTAACCTTTTAACTATGGTGGGACCATCCGCGAAGCTATATCTCTGTACCGCAATGTTTGGCGCGGTCTGCATATCATAAATGTAATATCTCAGCGATTTGAGACTGATTAGATTAGACTATAATATGCACAACTATCGTTCACAGAGAAAGGATTGGGCCGCTATAGTGCTATACCGTTCAGAAAGATGATATACAGGACAGCCACATTAATTAGTATCAGATATTTGAAAAACTTGACTATTAGGTGGTTATTTAAAATAAATGTCGTTTGAGGTATACATAGTAATATTTTCGATTTGTAAATATTATTGACACATTGCAATGGTAATTTAAAGTAATATATTTAATAATATTTTCTTGATAATATAGATTCTGATATTTTGATATTTAACCAATTTCTTTGACTATATACAAAACTATTCAACTCAAACTTTCGCGCCGCGAGGAAAAGTCTATGCTTTCCTTGAGTGTCAACCAATCATTTGAAAATTGTACAAAACATTGAAAATTCTTAAACATATGCTTATGATCTCATCGTGAGTTTTAAGTTTTCATTTAAGTAATTGAACTTATTATTTATTTAGTATTTCATTTAAATAATTTGATGTTATATATACGTGTATTTAGTTAAAAATGTAAATATGTATAAACTGACTACAGCTGCAACATAAAAGAAGAATATTTGTGTTTTCACGTGCTTGTTTTATAAAGAATTTTAATAATGGCAGAACCACCTCCAACAATAGAAAAATCGAAGAAAATTAATGTTATAAATAAACAGACGATTCATAAAATTTGTTCTGGACAGGTAAGATTAACCTTTTAGTAATTCGAATTATCATTTTTACAAGGTAAAACTTTTGTAATTTAATCAGCAGTATTTATACTTATTAAACTTTTATTAATTATATAATTCATTGTATTTATATGAATATCAGTACACACTGTTTTACTAATTTATATTATTCTTTTATTTCTTGTACCTATTTAATTTGCAACTTAGTTTATATGAGAAAAAGTAAACAAAAGGTTGTTTTATGTTATGAATTTCATTAAATCAAACTTATTGATTGATTTAAATTTATATACAGATTTTCATGATACAATGTACACTAATGTTCCAATTATAATTTAATGTATGTATTACAATATTGTATTGTTCATGTATTTTTTATCTCTGTTATTATGTTCATTTGAATATTTTGATATATAAATTAAAAATATCTTCCACAAAAGAGATATAACTCATTTAAAAATATTATTGTTATAATTAAAGTTTTTAAAATTTTATTATTTATTCTGATAAAATTGAAACAACGATATCATTATGTAATATTCTTAACAGGTGGTATTAGATATTGCAACTGCCATAAAAGAACTTGTAGAAAATAGTTTAGATAGCGGAGCTACATTAATCGATATTAAATTAAGGGATTATGGGAAAACATGTATTAGCGTCAGTGACAATGGTAGTGGCGTCTTGGAAGAAGACTTTGAAGGATTAGGTAAAGCACAGAAATTCATATTTAGTTTGTTTATTTAAAGTAACAATCTTTACAGAGTAATCATTTATAAATTATATCTATCAATTAACATTTAATTATTATATAATAAATTTAAAATACTTTTAGAAATGGAAATAAATATATATTATACTAAATGAAATACTTTTTTATTAATTAGGATTAAAACATCATACATCTAAACTTCAAGAATTCTCAGATTTAACGCAAGTAAATACATTCGGATTTCGTGGAGAAGCTCTAAGCTCTCTTTGTTCTTTGTCGAAATTAACTATTATTACGAGGCACTTGACCAGTGAACATGGTTTCAAGTTACAGTTTGATCGTAACGGTATACTAGAAAAAAAGGAAGCATATGCAAGAGAAATAGGAACTACTGTACATGTTACAGATATCTTCAAGTGTCTACCTGTTAGAGCAAAAGAACTTCAAAAGAATCTTAAAAGAGAATATACTCGTGCCATTCAAGTATTATACAGTTATTGTTTAGTTTCCACTCAAACAAAGATAACATGTACTAATTCAGTGTCAGGCAAATCTAATCATGTTGTTAGTACTGCAAATTCCAGTGACATTTTAAGTAACATCAATGTAATATTTGGTAGAAAATCTTCTAACGGACTTGTTAAACTTGAACTGTTACCACCTGATGAAACAACATTGCAAGAATATAACTTACCAAATAATACAGTTATAGACTTTGAGTGGATCTGTTATGTTAGTAGTTGTGATCATAATATTGGGCGATCTGCTCCAGATAGACAATTTTTTTATATAAATGGTCGTCCATGTGATCTCATAAAAATTAGTAAACTAATAAATCATATTTACCACAAATATAATAATAAACAATATCCATTCATTTTTTTAAATTTAAAGCTAAATAAACAGTCAACTGATATTAATGTAACTCCAGATAAAAGAACTATTTTTTGTACACAAGAACATTTAGTATTAGCAACTTTGAAATTTAGCTTGACAACAAAATGGGACAATCTACAAGGAAGTTTTACTGTGACACCACTGCCAGATTTACAATTAAGAATAAAAAGAGCAATTTCCCCCACAAATACAGATCCTCCAGCAAAAAGATTACAAAATTTACACTCTGAACCATACAACCAGAAAGAAGAATATCTTCAAAAATATATAGAAAAGAAAAGTATACAATGCGATACTGACAATGATGAAAATTGTGATATACAAACTTATGTAAGTCAAATAAAAATATTAAGCGATGTAGAAATGTCAATTAATATTTTAAAGATAAAACAAAAACTTGGAGAAAGTAGAAGTCAAAAACAGAAATTTACAAATACAAACACAAGAATCAAATACAAAGTACAAATGGATTCAACCCAAAATTCTAACGCTGAAAACGAATTGAAACGAGAGTTAACGAAAGAATCTTTCCATGAGGTTATAATATTTACCATGCGCTGTATTTAGTATTATTAGCACTTTTAAAGTTTGAATATTAAAAATAAAAATAAACAAATTACAGATGGAGATCATAGGACAATTTAATCTTGGTTTTATCATAGCTCGTTTAAAGGAAGATCTATTTATAATTGATCAGCATGCTACAGATGAAAAGTATCGTTTTGAAAAACTAAATAACAAAACACAATTGAAAACACAGAAATTAATTGTTCCTAAATCTTTGAATCTTTCTTCTTTAAATGAAGCAATATTAATTGAACATCAAAAAACATTTGAAGATAACGGTTTTTTCTTCAAAATTAATTCTGAAGGTAAATGTAAGTTTTTATAAACGATCTGATTTGGAGTCAATTCTATTTAGAAAAATATTGTTTAAACAATTATAATCCAATTGAATAAATTTTACCTTTAAATATTTTATATTTTAGCTGAATCTGGGCATCGTGTAGATTTAACAGGTATACCAGTTAGTGGTTATTGGCAATTTGGGAAAGATGATATAGAAGAATTAATTTTTCTCATTAGGGAAGGGGGTATAGAAAATAAAGAAAATCATATATATCGTCCATCTCGAGTAAGGCAAATGTTAGCATCAAGAGCTTGCCGCAGTGCAGTTATGATTGGCACTGCACTAAATAATAATGAAATGCAAAAGTTAATAACGCAAATGGCACAAATGGAGAATCCTTGGAGTTGCCCTCATGGTAGACCAACTATAAGGCACCTACTATCTTTACATCTGACACATAAATGAAAAACATTTTGAAACTATTCAAATTTATATATTAAATAACTGTGAAATATATATATTATATTTATAATTTTATATTTATTATTATTTTATTATATATATAATATATATTTATTATGTATTTATAATACAAGAAGTATTAACTCTTGATTTGTAGCATGGAAATAAAATTTATAAGTTATATTTATGTGTATCAAAAAAAAATATTATGTTTAAAAGTGATACAGTTTAAAAAATGTCGTTTTAAGAATAAAATGAAAGAATGTCAGACCTGTGTAGTATTTTATGAACATTATATTACAAAACATAAAATTTTTACACACTAATTGTACGAAATATATTGAACCCTGAATGCGCTGTTGATATTACAACACCAGGACATTGAGGATGCCAATGTAGTTCTTTAATGTCTGTTTGACCTTGATGTATGAATAATAATTGTGGAGGTAAATCTTTCAGCTCATTATTTTCTGTTTCTTCTAAGTGATCAGTTTCCACTGACAAATCCCACTCTGCAATTTGATCATCAGCACCACCAGAAGCAAAAACTGTGGCTTCCTGAGGGTGCCATTCTATCGTTGTAACTGGTGCTGTATGTTGCTTAAACATGGCTAGTGGCTGTGTATTAGGACCAAACTGACGCAGATCCCATACACAAATTAAACCATCATCACCACCAGACACAAGAAACTGACTTTCTTTACGATTCCAGGAGATTACATTAATGTCAGCAGTGTGAACGTCAGCTGCTGTTAACATGCAGGCAGATTGTGGACTTACCCTTGTATCCCAAATTTTAATGCTGTTAAAATTACATTAATATTATAAAATTGCATAAAGTTTATAATAAAGTAAAAAAGAAGAAGTATATTAATTTAACTAAATCAACAATTAATTTCATTCAATTTTATTTACTTTTTCTTGTTATATATTTATTTGATTAAAATCAAATTAATTAAAAGCATGTAGTTTACCTTTTATCAACAGAACACGAAGCCAATACATGTCTCTCATTAGGAGACCACTGAAGATCTTCAACACTGGATGGTACATGTGAACTATAGGGTCTTTGATCAACATGCCATGTTGTACAATCTTTATTGTCATCAATGCGCCATATATGAATGTTGCCTTTGCAGTCACCAGAAGCTAAAGTACCTACTTCTGTTGAACACCAATCGAGACCATACCCTTCTGAAAGGTGTCCTTTAAAAGTAAATAATGCCTTGATACCACTATCATTTTTTTCACTTTTTTTGCGATATTCATGAAGCTGCTCCTCATTTTCAAGTACTTTTAATTGTTCTTCTAAATTCCAAATATGTACACGACCCAGTTCGCTCCAACTTGCTGCTAGAGGTGTTTGACCAATTTTTGTATATCTGTGAAAATGCACAAATATATTCTAACTAATAAATAAAATAAAATTTAATCATGTTATGATGACATTTTTATGTTTAACTTGTACTGTTATATTATTAATATTATAGAATGAGTGATATAATCTTAATATTTAAAATAGAAAATTATATTTAAAGATTCATTAAACTTCAATACATATTTTATTTTTGATAATTCCTTCAGTAATGTAAATGTATATTAATTGAATCTCTAACAAATGTATTATATTAAGAATAGAGAAATGTTATACTTGTATGGACAAGATTACAAATTTTTTATGGAAATAATTTAGGAACTAAAATATATTTTAATAGAATTATAAGAACTTCCAAACCTTACCTTACTCTATTAACGCAGCCTTGATGTTTTATCGGTGCAACAGACATTACTGGAGGTTTGATATCTTCATCGTCTGATTCATCATCTTCTAATTCATCTTCAGAATCTTCATTTGTTATACCATGAAGATTTTTCATTTTCATTACAAGAAGATTATTTACATGAGCCTTAGCTGCTTGAGTTCCAGCAATCAAGTACATAGTTAGAGGATAATCTTCTCTGTTACTTCCTAAGTCGTCTAAAATTACATCGAAACTAAGACAAGGTGCACCAGATTGCGCATGATGTAACATTCTGTATGCTGATTTGTCAACAACAAGTTCTTCTCCACTTTCTAATGGTCGTCCTGGAAGATACACTTTAGATTCACTATTCTGGTCCCCTGTCTCTTCAATATTTTCATTATCGGTTGAATCTTCTCCATCACTGTCGTTGCTACTTTCATCCATATTCTCGGTAATGTCATCGATTGGTTCAACCTCCATGTCTTTAGGAATTTCTTTATAAAAGACAGTCATCTAATAATGATACACCTACAATTAAAAACAAGGCAAGTTTCAGTGGCAAATAATATGTGTAATTAAAATTTTCAAGTACATAACCTAACTTTATATACCGTACACACATTTCATATTAAAAAAGTACATATTTTATAAAATATATTAATGTAAACAGATCATCAATAATATATAAAAAAGAAAACATAAATTTTACGAAATTAGAAATTTTATAGTTATTGTTGAAAATATGTAGAAAGTTACCTTCTAATCGAACTTCCATGCACGTGGATATACGTCGATTAACGTACACACATAAAATAAACAGATGAGTGTCTGTCCAACCATTCTACTAAAATGTTTATTGTAGTTTTTTTCATTGTACTTTATTGATAACTTTTTGTGCGAAATCAAATCATTTCAATTTTAAATAATACAATTAATAACAATGGTAAAGAATGGAATTACAATATTTGACTAATGACACTTAAGGAGTCAGAAAATTTTGAATACATAATTATAAAAAAAAATTAAACTTCGAAAAGTCATGGTACAACCATGCGTCTATATTTCATTTTACAGTTAAATAATTTTCATATCAATTATTTTCATATTAATCATGGTTTATAAAGAGAAAACTCTTGCTTTTCAGATGTATATTCTAAACAATCCCTATTACGATTCTTTAAACAATTCAGTTCGTAAACTACATGCTGATCCATAGTATGCAAAAAGTTGTAATGATTGCAGAATCAACTACAAAGCAGTATCACATACCATCAAAAACCTTGTTTAAAAGAAACAAATTGATGACGTACAGATATGTTTAATTATGACATTTGTAACATTCTTTGAGTATATGCAAACAACATGAGAGAGACAATCTAATTTTGGAATTTTTTTGCATGAAATACCATCCACTTAACGTATGAAAATTATGTACTTATGTACTTATAAAATACAAGCATTATTTGCTTCTCTTGCAAAAACATGAGAAAAATGAGACTTGAGCTGAAAAAACTGCTCCTTTATGGATCAGTTTATTAATTAATCTATATGAACAAATCTAATGGTTGTAATAGTAATGACATGATAATGATAGCAATTGTGATAATAGTAGTAACAGTATTGGTAGTAATAATTGTAGCATTATTAGTATAATAGCAATATTAATGACAATAGTAATAGTAGTAGTAATTATGTAATAGCAGTACTAGTACTAGTAGTTATAATATGATTCATAGCAACTGTACTACTAATAACAACAAAAGGAAAAGAAAAGAGGACAAAATACAAGCTGTGTTCTTTTACATAGAAAATACAACTGCAGCAGTTGTTATAAACATTTAACGAGAAAGGAGCAGCAACAAATAGTTAACATTTGATGGCAATTGTTCACGCAAATGGATGGTATTTAATATTAGCTGTGTTTATTAAGATGGGAATTGTTACTAGAATTATTCATTAACTGAATAGATGTTACAGTAGTATGTGAATGGTGAGGTGGTGAGATACTGGGATTATGTCGTGGATTGGTATTATGGAGGCTGTGTATATAAGAACGTTGGACGGGTTTGTGCTGAGCAAGCTGAAGTAAGGCCTCTGGTATAGTGAACCATTTTCGTTTTCGACCAATAGCACGTGAATCTTCCCATTCTGGTAGTTCTTCTGTTACCCGCATAACCCACACTTGTGTTCTATGTTTGTGTTCCACATTCTATAAAGATACATTTTTCTTATACCTTATAATATTTATTGACACTTGTTGCTAATAACTATATTTTTATTATTTCAGTATTAAATAAACATGACATATATTACCTCAAATATGCCAAGACATCTGCCTAATTGTCCTAAAACTCCAGCCTCTTCTCTTACTTCTCGTAGTGCAGTTACCGCAGGTTCTTCTTCTGGTTCAACGCCACCACCAGGCACTATCCAACTATCTGGTCTTCGACTGGATGTAACCAAAAGTACCTGTAGTATTATAAATCATAAAAAATGTTTATTCTATATTTATTGTGCGTACTGAAAAGATAACTAATAACCGGCATTAAAATAAAAACTACTGTTTCTTAAGAAAAAAATATCAGCTGCCATCTGCTGGCTTACCTCATCCTCAAGATCGTTTTTGACGCAGATACATGCAGCCCTACGTCTATAGCCTTCCGAATCGTAAATACGAATTGAATTTGGTTTCTCTTTGACCATGTTCGATTATGAAAATTACAAAATTATGCCACAAATTCATATTTGTCAAACGGCCAGATAGGCCAGACTGTGCGCCCGCATTGTTTTAATGTTATTTGGAGCCGACATGTCATCGACATAGAATTAACTTGCGAGCTGTCACTGCTCACATAATTAATTTAAGAGTTCAACTTTTCGTCCGAAGAAAGGGACGACTTTTTATTTAAATATTGCTATATCACGATAACACCACGAATGTTGTCCTTGCAGAAATTCGCTATAACCTCAAAACTTTTAAAGTATTCACTAGGCAACTAACTCCCTCTAGACTAATACTATTATCGCGACATTTATAAAATATTGGTAATTACACCATGTTATTGTTTCACAACATTTAAAAACAAATTTACAATGTATGTACCTTGATTTAATACAAATGAATATACAACAATAAGAACTTTGATTGTTTAAATATGTTAGAAATATAGCGATTAAAATTATCTTTTTTCCCTAGAAAACACTTGTTATTACTAGATTTCTATTTCCATATTTTTCGGGCGAATTTGCAAACAGTATGTTGTAACTGTTATATATATGTATATAATATGTATACACACTGTATGTGTAGGTATATTTTTACACATATACGTAAAATGTATTTTTGAATGTTTATTCAAATGATGATGTAATTTATAATAATGTTAACAATAATAAATACTATTTTATATACAGTTAGGAACAAAAGTATTGACACACCTGACTCTTCATTATAGAAACACATATAAATCAAAGAAAAAACACAGGATTAGGTTAATTCTTTTTATTAATTATAACTATTAGGTTTACAGTTTGAGAATATTACAAATATATTTATACTAATTTATTGCAGAACAAAAAAGAATAATAAAATTCAC